TGTGAAAGTGTCATCTACGTACCGCTTGTAGAATCTTGGATTTATGGGAGAAGTAAGCAGGGCTTTCTCCTCAAAGTCTTCCATGAATATGTCGGCGACAATGGGAGATACAGGTGAGCCCATCGCCACACCATCTACTTGCTTGTAGAACTCCTCCTTCCACAATAGGTAGCCAGATGTAAGGCAGTGTCTGAGTAATACTGCATATTCTACGGGCATGTTGTTTTCTTCCAGCCTTCTAGTTACAATTGAGATGCAGTCTTCAACAGGTAAGCATGTAAACAATGACTGCACATCAAAACTGACCATAGTTTCATTGTCTGCCAGACGTAGGTCTTTAATCTCGCTGACAAAATGGTAGGAATCCTTTATGTGTGCTCTTGTATGTCCCCTGAGCGGTGAGAGTATTTTCGCTAAGTGTTGAGCCAATCTGTAAGTTGGTGAATCGATTTGGCTCACTATGGGGCGTAATGGAGCATTGGGCTTGTGTATTTTTGCCGATTAGAAGATCTAAAGACTAAGCGCGCAAGATATCTAACAGCCTTAAATTTCTTGAAGAGATGCCGAGACCATAATCTCATTCCTACGTGTGTCAAAATATCCACCAAAAAGGACATTCGAGGAAGCGCTAAGATCTTAAATCAGGCAAGTAAAAAGTTGTTACGGGCGGTAATCCAACAAAAACGCTCCGATCTATATGACATAAATAAATCCATAGACATATCATCCAGTGAATTAAAGAAAGTTTTAACGACGTTTGATTATAACTTTTGCATGGAAACATTAAATAAACGCGAAATTAGTAAATATAACGAATGCAAAAACAAACATATAGAAAAATATCAAAAATTAACGGCCAAATCAAATGTCAAACATCCGAATCAATGCCAGAACCAAAAGCAACCATTGACAAACACAGATCATAGATTAATCGCGTTCTATAATCTGTCAAAACAAACACTGGATGATGCAACAATAAAGGTGTTATCCAAAGGACTAAATTACGCTATAACTCCAAGCAGATTACCGTACGAAGAAATTATCTGTAGTGTCGAGGACTGTTTATTTAAAAACAATATGCGGAAAGAAGATTTGGAGGCGATACGTCAAGACATTTCGTCTATGTTACGTCGATGTTCAGTGCCTAAACCGAATCTTCCCAGAGACGAATTTATAGCGTTAAAGGACCTACGCAATAAACCAGAACTTACGATTCTCCGCGCAGATAAGGGAAACGCCACGGTGGTCATGGATACGTCAGATTATAATTCTAAAATACAAGAACTTTTGTCGGATGTAAGTACTTATAAAAAGGTTAAAAACGACCCAACAAACAGCACACTAAAAACAACTAGTGACCTCATAAAGAAACACTCCGAAAAATTAAATCTGGACGTAAAATGGATAATACCTACGTGCGCCAAATCACCAAAGTTGTATGGGTTACCAAAAATACACAAGCCCAATGCTCCATTACGCCCCATAGTGAGCCAAATCGATTCACCAACTTACAGATTGGCTCAACACTTAGCGAAAATACTCTCACCGCTCAGGGGACATACAAGAGCACACATAAAGGATTCCTACCATTTTGTCAGCGAGATTAAAGACCTACGTCTGGCAGACAATGAAACTATGGTCAGTTTTGATGTGCAGTCATTGTTTACATGCTTACCTGTTGAAGACTGCATCTCAATTGTAACTAGAAGGCTGGAAGAAAACAACATGCCCGTAGAATATGCAGTATTACTCAGACACTGCCTTACATCTGGCTACCTATTGTGGAAGGAGGAGTTCTACAAGCAAGTAGATGGTGTGGCGATGGGCTCACCTGTATCTCCCATTGTCGCCGACATATTCATGGAAGACTTTGAGGAGAAAGCCCTGCTTACTTCTCCCATAAATCCAAGATTCTACAAGCGGTACGTAGATGACACTTTCACAATTCTACCTTTAGATAAAGTAACTGCATTTTTAGACCATCTTAACTCTATAAATACTAAAATTCAGTTCACAATGGAGTTAGAGGCAAACAATTCCTTAGCTTTTCTAGATGTGTTAGTAATTCGGAATCCTGATAACACCTTGAGCCATACTGTGTATAGAAAAAAAGACCCATACAGATAGATATTTAAACGGTGATTCTCACCACCATCCTTCACAGTTAGCTACCGTGGGTAAATCTTTGTTTCAGAGAGCACGAGGGATCTGTGACAGTAAACACCTGGCTGCCGAGCTCCAACATGTCAAGCAAGTTTTGCATGACAACAAGCTTCGGGTCCCGCGCCTAAGTCACAGAGAACGAGTGAAGCCGGCCACAGTCGAGCGTGTACCTGCTGTACTGCCATATGTTAGAGGAGTCACTGACAAGATTGGCTACATCTTGAAGCGCGCTTCCATCAAAACATACTTCAAGCCGCCGAAGAAGATTGGTCAGTTTTTACCATCAGTCAAGTGTAACGTCCCTCTGCAAGATGCAGGAGTGTACAAGCTTGATTGTGAATGTGGTCTCTCCTACATAGGACAAACTAAAAGATCAATTAAAACCCGCGTCAAAGAACATATAGCTGATGTGAAGAATCGACGCTCCGGGAAGTCTACAGTCTGTGAACATGTACAGGATCGCCCCCGTCACTACATCAGATTTGATAGACCACAAATCCTCGCTAAAGAACACCGATTCCTTCCAAGGATGATTCGCGAGGCTATTGAAATCAAAAAACATCCTAATTTCAATAGAGAAGATGGCTGGGTGCTACCATCTGCTTGGGATCCTATAATAAATAAAATTAAATCCCAACCCAAGCATACAACTGCAAGACTCCATGATACCATAAGTTCATACTGTGTAGATCGGAACAAAAGTTAAATTTTAATCTATGGTAACCGCGGTTAACTATGACAGCTGGACGTTGAACATCTCAGTCCTTCCCGTGACCATGGGTGCTGTAAAGCTCTCGAAACGTCGGGTAAAAAAGTTAAATATACGCGATAAATTCCGTAAAAATTAGTATTATTTCGATTCGTAATGACTCTCGAAACAGCACGTAGACGCGGCTCAGAAGGGGAAATCGGTTTGTAGTTCTTCAAGAGAGCGTTGTCACCTTTCTTAAAGAACAAGACCACCGCACTTCTGCTCCACGCCTCCGGAGTAGTGCCACCATAAGGGACGGAATTGAAGAGCTTCTGAAGGACTTCAAGTATCGGTGTTCCACTCGCTTTCAGAAGCTCCGCTGTAATTCCATCCTCGCCTGGGGCCCTGCCATTTATAAGGTGCTGGAGAGCCATTCTAATCTCGCTCAGACTGACGTCCGAGATATTATCGGAATAGTGTCGGGTAAGACTTGCTCTTGGATCGTTACTCACACTTGCGTGTGGCTCCAACAATGATGTGTATAGCTGCCCATAGATATAGCGTCTGGTCGTCATAATGAAGTCAATCTCATTTTTTGTCGAACCGTCGGAGCTTGACCAGGTCTTCTGGAAGAAAGAGTTCATCATAAGGAGTCTCTCTTTCTCCATAAAGTCAGCCAGCTGCTGGCCCCTACGGTTCCGTTGCCCTACTCCAAATTTCCCTAACTTCAGCTCACCGTCTTCTCTTGTGCCTAGTTTTGCGTTGAAGTCTCCCATCAACACCGTGTAGTGGGTTTTGGAGGAATGCATGGCTCTAGAAATATCCTCATACATTTCCTCCACCTCCTCATTGGGATGTGCCGAGGTTGGTGCGTAGACCTGTATAACCTTCAGCGAATACCGTTTGGTGATTCTGAGTATCAGGTACGCGACCCTCGTCGCCACACTCCCAATCTTTACAACGTTGTTGACGAGAGACTTGTGGACGATAAATCCGACACCTCCTTGGGACAGATGGTCGCCCTCCCGGTGATAGAACAAATTGCTGGACTCGAGGATTACCGTGTCCTCCTCCTCTCTTCGGACCTCAGATAATCCAATAATATCCCAGCGCAACTTGTCTACCTCTTCTTCCAGACCAGTATCTTCTCGTCAGTCCTCAGGGTGCGTGTGTTATACGTTGCCAGGTCGAGTTCGCCACCGTAGCCAGGAGTAGCGGGGCCGCCGGGGACTGGGGCCGTTTATTTGCGTCGTTGCTCATGGGGGAATATTTGCCATAGTTGCCACGCTTGGCGAGCGGGTTGGCAACCGCAGTTTTTTATTATGTTATTGTTGTTATTAGGAAGATTCTGCTGCCTATCTCCTTTTTGTGTCCCTCTGTCGCCTCTTACGCCACCCACGTGTAGAATAAGGGGGTAGTGGATATTCTCAACCGCCACTACACGGCAAACCCGAAATGTAACGTCATGCAAACTCGAAATTTATTTGCCGACTACTTTACATCTCGATCTGGTGCCTTAAATTGGCAGTACGATGCTATTAACTAACTTTTTATAGCAAAATTAAACACAACACATACCTTTGTTTTTCTTTTCTGTTTCCGACAAGCTAGTCGAATTTCTGCACACATTTTGATACACCTCCTGCCAAAGCCGGGCTTTAATATTTCTGTCTCTGTATTGATTTAACGATTTGTCATATAATGCCGGCCTTTTTTCCACTTCAATAATAATGTTTTTTGATACATTGTCGTAGTCTACATTCGATGTTTCTGAGTTGGACGACATGACTCTGCAAAAACGTCTATCCTCCGCACTCACACAGTCGAGACTGAATAAAAACCGAATACGAATAGCCGCCGTGCGTGCGTCACAGTACTGTTACTATGGGACACAAAAAAACCGCGCGTTTTCAAAGCGCGATATTCACCGTGCGATTTTTTTTTTCGAAATTCTGTAACACATTCAATACAATAGGAGTAGCCGCACTAGCGGTATAAAATTCGCGCGAATTTTACGCGATGCGGTGCGGATTTATTTTCGCACGAATGTTTTGTGCAGTATGAAGTAGTATGACTATGGCCGCACTGCGAAATAAAATTCGCGGGTTTCGCTCGTCAGTCGTGCACTGACAACGCTGCTGACAAGATGTCGCGCGCTTCATCTCCCGCCCGATCGGCAGGCGCGCAGGAGCTACCAGAAGATGACAACATTGATATAGAGCAATTAATCGCACTGATGCACAAGAGACCTGCTCTATGGGACAAATTTGACCCAAAGTACCACGACAGAATATTGAAAGCGAGATTGTGGGAGGAAATATATCAACAGATATATTTTACTTGGGAACAATATAGTGTTGGTGAAAGAAAGCAAAAAGGTAAGTAAAGTAAAATAGTTTATTATTATAATAAGTTTACAAGTTGACAATAATTATTGTAGGTAAGTATTTCTTGTTGGTCTATGTGTAGTTTATGTGGGACGGGTGTCGAATAAAACCAGGATTTCTTCAGATATCTTCTGTATTGTCAAAAATTATCTTTGCACATTTATTTAGAACACGTTTATAACAGATCTAGAACCGTAGAGTAGATACAGTTTATTTTTTTTATTTCTGGTTTGTTCTTTTTTAATTAACCCACCTTATGGTCTAATCTTACAGTTAAGTATATGATTATTTATATTTTATCATACTGCCACGAAATTCACCCTTTCGATGAATCAAAATATTCTGCAAAATGTTGTCTATTTTCAATGCTGGATATTCTAGATCTCACTGGAGTAACTAAACTGTGCAACTTGGTTCCATAAAGTTTGTCTTCAAACCTAATTCCATCATGTTCCGTACGGAATTATGTAAAATGCAACATGCTTTAATTATTTGCTAACAAGTTGTTAGTTTTACATCTAAAGTTCGATGTAAAATTCTCCATTTACTTGTAAGTATGCCAAATGTGCATTCTACAAATCTTCTTGCTAATGTAATATACTGCCTAATATGCTTGCGCATCACAGACTCATGTCACGTTCGCGGTGTTAGCGTCTTCAATTCCATTGCACGGTGGCTGCTATAGCTTCGTCCGGTAGGCATCACGAGCTATCAAGTGTTTGTGTTTTAAGTAGTGAATTTATTACAAGAGATAAGAGTGATTTTATTACATCTGTTGAATCATATATATTTGTGTCGTATTAGAGTCGCGGTAACTCTGGGGCTAAGTGCTCGCTGTAAATCTCACAGTACGCGAAACCAATGCAATTGTTAATTACAATTTTAAATGCTGGTTTACCACGTGCTCAGCAATTAAGAAAACACCTTGAGGAAACCTCCATGTCTAAAAAATAAGAAAAAACATCGAAGACATGTAAAGTTCTCCAACACGCATTGGGGCAGCGCGGCGGCTTTTTCCTTGCCCAAAAATCCTCTCAGAAATAAGATGAAGCCTACACCTACACTTTACTTTACTTTTGTATCGCATATATATGCAATATTCATTTTTGTTGATACGGAAGGGTACTTAGTGCTGAGAAAATAAATATCATGTGAAGGCCACGAAAACGTATAACAGCCAAAGGTCCTAACAAATATTTAACTTATATTTCAAATTGATGTCATCATTCTGTACCTCACCATTTTCCTGCCATGTGGCTTTCTGCCTCTGCAAAAACTCTGCCTCAATGTTGTGTCTGAGATATAAAGTTAATATTATATAAACATATAACATAAGAAACTGGCAGATCTTTCAATGCCAATCACAATGAACATTCGACTATTTATTCAGAATTTTCATAATGTTTAGGAATTAGTTTATTTTATGACGTTTTCGGATGTGACTGTGAAGCATTTTACAATTTGTAATATACCATAAATATTGTAGATTACCGAAATGTTTTATTTTTATTAAAAGCGCGGTATGGCCCTCATTTTCAGATCTGTTCAAACATATTAATTTACTGTAAATAAAACTATAAGGATAAAAATAGTTGATACGTGAAATTTCAGCGATACTAAAAGAAGTTCAATTAGTAATGTGAAGTCTACTGATCTAAGAACTTCAAAATAATGTGGCGCATGTTCATTTAGTGACATTACAAATTTAGCAATCTGATATGAAATGATAGTTAATCATTTATCTATCTGATAAAACTTTTAACTGTGTCAGCCATATATTAATCATGATATTTGGGTTATAATACTGGAAATTGTCTATTAAACATTTTAGTTCAATTGATCATCTTCAATATGATTTGCCGTGTGTATGAATTTTGTAAATCTTTGTTATTTTTGATAAAAAATATTATTGCAGATAAAAGTTCTTTCATATTTATTTTAGTAAATTAAAAATAAAATAAAATTAAAAATAAATTACTTTTTTTATGATTTACGAAGTCCATATGCTTACTTATATTTTAGTTCATAAAAAGCTAAGCAGAAAAGTTAAAAAAAAACTAAGGGTAAAAAAAGAAGTAAAACTAATCGTTTTACAAAAACATCGGTCACGGGAAAACTCTGGCACGTCTAGTGTCCTCTAGTGGCTCTAAAATATTGCCTTTAGTTCAGAATTACACTAGATATTTATTCCAATTAGAAGTATTTCATTTATTCCTACTATTTATTCACGAATGTCGACATTATTTACTGTTAATTACTAATTAAAATAAACATACATACAATATACAAATAACTACCTAATTAAAATGACACGAGACTTAAAAAAATAACTAAAAGGACACTCATTGATCATACGTGAGATTTGATGATCCTAGTGATAATGTCAGTGCGAAGTTTCAGATTATACGGACGTTCGGAAATGGGTGAGAACTGAATTATAAAATTAACTCCATTCCATTTATAAACAAAACATACACACATATAGGTCAAACAAATAATAGAAGCGTGTTAAGATATTTTTTTATCAACAGAAGTAGCTGTGAATACAACATCAGAAAAATACTTATATCCTAAGTATTCACCATTCATGCTAACTTTTTGCTAATACAATAATATTAGTGAGAAATATTAAAAGTAATAACATAACAAAACAGAAGAATCTAGAAACGAAGTTATACTTCATGGTCTCATCATAAGAGCTCATTAAATATCCATTGCTGGAAAAAGGCCTCGCCTATACACTGCCATAAAAGGTCATAAACAACCTGCATCCATTAAGTGCCTGTTTTGATTCATCATGTCATTACCCCATTTAATGGGTTGTTTGTACCTGCGATTATGAGACTGACGAGCTATGAAGCTCGAAGAAACGACAACCGATCGGGAAGAAAGAATGTCGAATGGCAGTCTTGTAACTTTAAGGAAGTAAGGTGAAGTGTAAACTTGGTAAGACATGTTTGTGGCCTTTCTTGGAACAGACACATTTTTAGTAGTAAATTAGTGAAGAGGTGTAATGATTATTTTATAGCATAAGATGACAAACTAGCACACAGTTCACCTGATGGTAAGTGTTTGCTGCGGCCCATAGACATCTACATCTACCCTCGATTACTAATCAAAATGCATATGCGTTGTCATCCGTGAGGACTAAGATGGAATGCCTCGTTTCCAGTAAAAAGGTTCTCCGGTACATACGAAACACAGCAGCATTAAGCTACTATTTTACGCTGGTATTGGACCCGTTCGTGCTACTACTATACTACTAACATAACTGCAGAATGGCTCTACCACGTATAAAAATGATGAAAGATTACGATACTTACTTATTTTTATTACAAGGTTTTTATAAACAATTTCCCTGTCCGCGAAAATACCACAATAGTTAAACAATTGAAATGTTCGTATATGACTCATTGAAATGGACTCTCTTATTTGTTTGTCTGCCTGTTGCTCCGGGTGGAATCAGGCAACTCAAATTTCAAGCGTTTCGCGATTAGCTATCCAGCTGAAACTTCTAGGGTAGTTTACAACTAGATAACAATGCATTCTAAATACATTTTTATTCGCATTGCATTCGTGTAATCCTGTTTGAATGAAATTTAGTAATTTATTTCAAACTAACTTCCCAATGAATATGAATTGGAATTCCTATGATCCAAATGAACAAAAAATTGGTTGACAATATGCCCTACATGTGGATAATAATGCAGGAATATGAAAAAGAACGTGGTATATTTTAAACTTTTTAGTACAAAAAACACTTGCTTATTCACACTAATAATATAACATAATATGCGAAAGTTGGTAGAAGGTGTTTTGTGTGTGAACTTTTTATCATGAGAACAAAATAATTAATGTACATTATATCAAAATATTATGTAACATTAATTACTATGTAAAAAGTTATTTTTAAATGATGTTTTTGTACTTTCACATACTGTTTAACTATGTATGTTTATGTAATACCAGCTATTATAAGCGATTCCGTCCGTGTGAAAAACTTGCACAACCATAATTGTTAATCTACCTTATTCTTTGACAGTCATAGTTTTTTGTTAAATAATGTTGAAATATAAATTAAATTTGCATTGCACTGCTCTCTATCTATTAGTAAAGTGTCATCAAAGTCGGTTTAGCTATTTCATTCCAAAGATTAGCCCGGACCAACAGATTGACAGACCAAAATTAAAAAAAAAATAGCCTAAATTTTACGTTTTTAAAATAGTTACATTTTTTGCGGTTTCAGACGTGCGGTTAAATGCGTGCGTTTAATCGCAGTGCGTGCTAAGCCTTAAGCCTTAAAATAGGGAAGTATAGTAATAAATTACTAGAACTTTGTACATACGAAGACGTGGGTATAGCTAATTTTTAGAGCTTGAAGTCATCTGATTTAAAAAAAAAAGTAAATAAAGAAGAACGAACAAATATTTTGATTGCAAAATAAAACTGTTAAGTTTCGCTTGAATGATAATTGTTTTAAAAAATCGTGTTTGTAGGATATTATAGAATGGGTCGGCTCGACCGAGGAAGGACCACGTTTTCACAGATTACCAGCGTAAAATAGCAGTTAATGTTGCTGTGATTCGTATGGTGATTGTAGAGAATCTGAGACCCTTTTCTCTGGAAACGAAGCATTCCATCATAATCCTAAGGGGTGATAATGCATCCGTATTTTGGTTTTAATCGAAAATAGATTTAGATGTTTATGGACCGCAGTAGTCACTTACCATCAGGTGGACTATGTGCTCTTTTATCGCCCTTATTCTTTAAAAATATATTATTCGTTATTTAGAATTTTAAATACATTCAAAACATTATTAGAGTCAAGATTTATTTTGAAATTTCACTGAAACCAATGAAAGACACTAGGTAATTAAAGCTCGCATATTGTATAAACAACTTATGTGGATGCGTTTCTTAAACAACGTGACTTGAATTTAATAAGATTCTAAGCTCAGTGTTAATATAATATTATTATGCGTACAATATCATATTATGC